CATCTTCAAGCGAATTTTTTAAAAATTTCGCTTGAAGATGGAACAGAGCTTGGTACTTTAATTCAATTTAATTCAAATAATTATATTGAAGTTTTCAGCTCTTGTTTTGAAACATGAGAACTCTTATGTAGCGATGGAATCATATTTTTAAATAAATAATTATATTTAGGCTCTACTTATTTATCGAGCACTGTTTTTTAAAAATAATAACAAAAATACTAAAGAACGTTGGATTATTTACCTAACGAGTTCTTTCCTATTTTCTTTATATTTTCACACACACACACACACACACACACACACACACACATATATATATATAAATATATATATATATATATATATATATATATATATATATATATATATATACCCTTTCCTTTTACTATCTACTGGAGTTATGTATCTATGGATTTTTAAATCGCTTTTTCCACTTTTATGTAACTGATGTGCATCTGGTTGCAATAAAATGACTTAATAGTAATTTTTGTTGTGATTTAAATCGGGTTTATGATGTATGTCGTTTTGATTAGTTGCCCGTAAAAATAATTGTATTTGTTCATCGACGATGTAATTAGAAAAGCCATTATTACCTGTTTGTTTAATGTTGGATATTTCTCTGTAGATGTAGATGAAAAGATTAATTTAACATGGTTGTTTTTATGACTGCCATCTTGTATAGATAAAGGCATTCTCTTTGATAGTTAACGAGACTTGAATTAATATTCGTGAGTTTTTCACATTTTGAACTAATCAAGTTTTGATAAATATTATTGATAAAGAAATAATAAAGTCGTAATTAGAAAAGCCATTATTACTTAAGTGTTTCTTTAATATTGGATAATTCTTTGCAGAATAATGTAATGGCAGAGATCATTTTAGCATGGTTGATAAGGTTTATTAATGGATGCCATCCTCTATATATATAATTCTAAAAATGTGTGTGTGTGTGTGTGTGTGTGTGTGTGTGTGTGTGTGTGTGTGTGTGTGTGTGTGATCGGATATTGCTTATGCATTTCCACTGTTTTCATCCGATTTCGATGAATGTTAATTTGTTTGATAGATAATTCTTCAGTGCCGGTTTTGAGTCCAAATTGTTGGCGACAATGGCTCTCCACTACTTCCTGTCCATTATAACTCTCGGCAACGTTTTACTATTTACTATCTGTTCTTGGATATATATCTTTCATAAAAATTTTAATAAAAATGAATAGTTTAAATTATTACAATAATATTCTTTATTACTATACAGTTCCCTTTTCAGCCTCCCACCATCGTTACCCCCCCAATTCCCCCCATACACACACACACACATTTGGGGATGTGCCTCAGTTGCACCAAGTTGTTGTTACTAATATTGATTTTCGGGTGGGATAACTTTAAACATAAACTGCTCCAATTGAACGGCAAAAATTCCCAGTAATGAAAGACCCGGTCGAAGACGGGTTATACGGCTTGTAATACTATATTACTTGGATATTTTGAATATCTCCAGTACTGAAGGTATCTGTGCACGCATGCGTTGTTCATGTTCATGTTGCCATCTTAAAACGCATGTTCATGGTTGCCATCTTATATCGATAAAGGCATTCGCTTGGATAGTTAAGGAGCATGAATTAATATTGGTGTGTTTTTCGCATTTTCAGGCAATTAAATTCTGATTATTATTATCGATAAGAAAATCGAGAAAAGGGACTTTTTTTATTTAGTCCGTATGTGAAATTCAGTTCGAAATTGTTTTAAATAGGTACTTTTCCAACAAAAAAGCGATAACTAAGTTTAAGATGCATTTTAAAAAATGGAAAAAAATTCTTAAATCTTTAATTTTAGTTTTAATTCAAAGCTATTAGATTAAATTTAATATAACGTTTATAAAATGCTAATTATTTTCAAGATTTATACGCGCTCGGCTAGGCAGCTAATTTAAAATGTCAAGCAGCCTACATTTTGTTGAAAAAATATATATACACACCATCATCTGATCTTATAAGGTTATATATGCAACTTTCGTTTTTTTTTTTTTTTTTGTTTTTTTTTTTTTGTTTTGTTTTTTTTTAGTTATGATCTATGGCATATTCTATCTGCAACGCACTATATGACCACTTAGGTTTTTGTTATGGACTGATCCATTCATGATAAGTAGTCCTGGGCAATTGTCTAGGGAAAAAAAAGAAGATAAATACTATTGCAGTGACTTGTCAAGCTGAGTATTGAACACTACTATCACGACTCACTCTGTCGAATTAATTGTTGTATCTTGCCAGACTCCCCCCACCCCATCACAACAGTTTTGTTGGAAAATCTTCTTTTAAACCAGATAAAATTATTGAGGAAAAAAATTCTATTTGCTTTTAAATTAAAATTTCATATTAACATGTTATTTGCATTACTTGGATAAAATGGGTTTTTATTCTATTATTTGCCCTCCCCTACAAATAAGCCGTTAGTAGACACATACGTTTGCACCAATAATGGCATTCCAAATTTCCAGGAACCGGTTCTATAAAGTCAGGTGATCTTTAGGAATTTATTCTGCTTATTTTCTTTTCAATCTGAGAATGGAAGCAAATCGTCTTTATAGTATCAAAAAGAATTAAACCATTTTGATAATTTAATAGTAAACATTTATTTATTAAGATATTTCCAGATTGAAATTATATTCTCATCATATTTCTGTTCAGAAGTATGATGCTTTTTGAATCTAGTGTCATCAGCTGTGTTATGGCTTCTTAGCCACGTTCGAATTGAATCGCTGCAGTCCCAAAGATCCAATGGAAGACCTATCAAATTTATGACTAGAAGAATTGCCGGTTTTTAACTTCATGACCATTTCTTTTGTCAGAATAAATTAAATTAATCTAAGAAAAACTCTCTTTCAGCCTACATAGGACTTACAGCAATGGCACTAATTATATTTTTGACTATTATATATCGGCTATTAATATATAAGGCTATTTTCACAGATTCCAACAACCATTTCGCTAAACCTTTATAATTTTAAGGATCGGTTCGCGTGAAGCGGTAGGATGCTACCACTGCTTTACGCACACCTTTGTGTTAAAACATATTTATTGCAGTAAGTAAAAACGAAGAAAAAAGATTATTTTCCTTTTGATTTTCAACTATTTTCACTCTGCGAAGCTTTTGATTAATAATAATTTTCTCTCACTACCTCCAAATAAAAGTGATACCTAAGTTTAAAATGGATAATGCATTTAAAAAAAAATGCAATATCATTCTGGAAGCTTTAATTCCAATATATATATATATCTCTCTCTCTCTCTCTCTCTCTCTCTCTCTCTCTCTCTCTCTCTCTCTCTCTCTCTCTCTCTCCTGAAAACCACTTCCTTCTTCAGCATGGCTGATGTTAACCTCCAGGAAAGTGATTCGTTGCACCTTTTCGTGCAAACATTCTCGACTGACCTGAAGTGGAAAGACTACAGTGAATCCATTGCTATTTTTGCTGCTAAGAAAGTTAGTTCACAATTTTTCTCTCTTGAATCTATCTTACATATGCCTTGAATACTAATGCCATATATGGTCCGGTTCTCCTGCTGTATATCTAGAGATTCTTGATAAAATCCAAAGAAGAATCAGTAATATTATTCGTCCTGAGCTGGCGTCTCGGCTTCAGTCACTTTATCACCGCCGTAATGTACCATTTCTCTGTCTTTTCTATAAATAATTTCGCAGTAATTTTTCTGGTGAACGCTTCGCTTTGTGAATTTAGCGCAGTACTAGATTGGCAGCAAAATCTCATTAATTCACAGTTGAATTGGCTAAATGTAACAGTTCTATGCTAACAGTTTCTTTTCTCGTACTTCTCGCTTGTGGAACTCTGCTTTCCAGCCGACTTTTATCTTCAAAAATTTAAACCCAATATCAATCGTTATCTACTGCCTTCTTGACCAGTTCTCTATTGTTCACACCCTTTAATAATGTTTCACTTTTTTTTCTCATTCTCAGTAACCTACTGTGTCTTTGTGACTCTAAGATAAAACAAAGCTAATAGATTAAATTTAATGTTCCCAACAAGCAAAAATATTTGGTGTATTTCAAACCGAATTGAAATATTTTTTTCTCTGATTATCAGTAATATCTATAAATTCATCCATATTGACAGATCAGTCAACTCAAAATAATTCTCTTTATTAAAAATAAAATATACTTTTCTGAAACGTCATTTGAGAAAAATTAGCTGATTTAAAATTCTGATTAGCTTTCCGCTTTTCTACCACGACTTCACGAATTTAATCACAGTACAAGGTTAGCAACTAGGCCTCATCACTTTACCGTTGAAATTACAATATGTAACAACAAGATCTATACTAATAGCTTCTACTCTTGTGGAACTCTCGTCCAGTTTCTTGATTTCCGATCAACTACGATCTCCAAAGATTTTAATACAACGTCAATCGTGATCTTCTGTCTTTTTGAATCCAAAATAGCATTTTCTCGGTTTTTCTCACTCTTGCGTTTTAGTGACTTTATCGCCTTACTTGCCGTGAAATGATTAAAAACATATATACCTACACAATTTGTTATCCTGATATATATATATATATATATATATATATATATATATATATATATATATATATATATATACTTCCTCCTTCATTTCTCCCGTTTCGGCCAAATGTTGGACTGGATTAAATCCATTCCACTGTCAATAACAGACGGTAAAACAGCGTGGCAGTGTTCTGTCAGTTCGAGAAAATCAAAGCATTAAGTGTATTAAATTTCCTCATCGAGTGACGGTTTGAGGAACGAAGTGATTAATTTTTCATTGATTCGGAACAGATCAATTGATTTTGAATTGCAGCTGTCAGGTTTTATGTTTCTTTTCACATTTTCAAAAAACAAGTAACCCTCTCTACTTTTGATATTTAACGATAAATCCTTAAAATAAACAATTGATTCGACCACCCCACCAACAAAAATTCCCAATTTAAAGCTGTATACGTCCCCAAATTCTAATTGTATCCAGAAGAGGACTTATGTTGCTTATCTCTAAGGTAAGTTAGCTTTTATTGTTTAATAAACTTCATGTTATATATATGTATGTGTACGTATAATATATATATATATATATATATATATATATATATATATATATATATATATATATATGATACTTATTGGAAAGCACTCAATATCGGTGATAGACCTAACATACTTAGTAGTATTCATGTGAGTTTCACATTAATACAACTAAGTATATATATATATATATATATATATATATATATATTGTGTATTTATATATATATATTTAATATTTTATTTAATGAAACCTGTATAAAATATATATATATATATATATATATATATATATATATATATATATATATATATATATGCAGAAATATAGTTTTAAAGCGTGTTATATTTATGGGATAAAGTGTTCAATATCAGAGATAGAGCGTATGTAAATATGAATATAAAAGTGAACATTGAAGTCAACACTCAGAGGCGACGGGCTGTTTCTTGCGAGACGCAATCGCCTGATGATTGCGTCTAGCATGAAACAGCCTATCACTTCTGAGTTTTGACTTCAATATTCACTTTTATATATATATATATATATATATATATATATATATATGTAAGTGGACATTGAGGTCATCATTTAGCGGCGACAGTCTGATGCATAAACATATTCTTCATGCATGCCTTTGTCATATTTCTCTTTACAGTGTGTTGACTTCAATATCCACTTTTATATTTATAATACTTTTAATATTTAAATATTAATATATATTTTTATATTTAAATATATTTTATATATTAAATATATTTTATTATATTAATATATATTAATATTATGTTTTATATATTAAATATATTTTATTATATTAATATATATTTTTATATTTTTATATTTATAATACTTTTAATATTTATATACACTCAATCACATAAATATAGCATACCTTAATCGTATATTTTATCATACAAATATTACACGTTATTTAATTGTTATTTCAGTGGATTCTAGTATTTGAGTAGGTGCTCCGTTTATTTATAAAGCTGTATATTTATTTTCGTTATATATAAAGCAGTATATTTATTTATTTTATATATATATATATATATATATATATATATATATATATATATATATATATATATATTATACACTGTTGCATTAGAACATGTAAGCAACTACTACCAAATTGTACATTTTGTTTTGACGTTTAATAAACAACATCTCATCAGGTAGTTAACAACTGTTTTAAATTAATTCTTCGTTCTTTTACATTTGTATATATATATATATATATATATATATATATATATATATAACGAAAAGAAAAGAAATAAAATATAAATTATATATTATAAATAATATAAAAATAAGAAAAAATGAGAAAATCCGCAGTTACTAGTTGAAAGGTCGAGTGGACCGAAAAAGTTCTTCAACGAAGCTCTGAAGTTGATGTAGTGAATATAGCATCTATCAACTAAGTGAAAAATTTTATTTCTATCAATTATATATATATATATATATATATATATATATATATATATGTGTGTGTGTGTGTGTGTGTGTGTGTGTGTGTGTGTGTTATATTGTAACGTTACAACAATACAGAAACTGTATTGTTTTATTTCCTACTTATCTCTTTTTTCGTTTTTGATAACTTTCTCTCTTTGTGTCTGTTTTATTTCCAAGCTATTAGTTGAACATTTGCTTAAGGTAGTCATAGTATCTCTCCTTTCATAGTATCTCTCCTTTCATAGTATCTCTCCTTTCATATTATCTCTCCTTTCATATTATCTCTCCTTTCATAGTATCTCTCCTTTCATATTATCTCTCCTTTCATAGTATCTCTCCTTTCAACACGTGTCCAATGTCCACATACACTATTGCAACGTAACCTTCTTCTAATTTCATTTTCTTCGAAATCACCGCTGATTGAAGGGATTCCTGGTAGCCAATGCCCTAAAGAAATACAAATAATTGTACTTACAAGTTCAGCTCACACATTACGAAGAGCTTTATCTATGTAAAGATCTATGATCTTTTATTTTTGCAAAAATGATGAGTGGAAAATGTCATGAAGCCATTTTTGACCTAAGGTCTCCGGTTGAGTATCCGGAAAAAAAACAAATATTCAACAGAAATCAAAGGAAATAATAATAATAATAATAATAATAATAATAATAATAATAATAATAATAATAATAATTGTTGACAAAGCTGCATTTAAAATACCAAAACGTAATTTTTCATAAAAAGTGGATTTATTTTCCACTCTTGCCAAAGATCTGTAGTCAGACCTCATTCTACTTGGTATATTGCCGCAATATAATCTTCCACGATTATTGTTTCGCCAGTTGATTTTGTGCCGGAATGAACTCACCCCAGCAAATATCTAAAACCAAAATTTCAAATACTAATTTTCAAGGGAGGCAAGCAGACTCTCTCTCATTTGACAGAGTACAATACAATATTCTTATTTGTTTTTTTCTATCTGGCGTTTTACTTCACAGATCTAAGCCAGTATCTACAAATAGTTTATAAAATCGCTAACTTAATTTTTTCCTTTTTTTTTTCTTTCTTTTTAGTTAAAAAAAAAAAACATACAAATTTATATTACGCCAAGCACGTTTTTGTAATGTCTTTGTACAGAGTTATTTCCCTTTTACTGACAATTATTTTTGTTCACGTGTAAAGGTTTAAAACTCGTAAGACTTTGACAACTACCATGAGGATGTTTCCTCGATCACTCCAATCTTAACCAGTTCAAGTCTAGGGTTAACTGCTATCTTTCTCGCCTATCTGTATAAACTGTCTCTTTAATGTAACCCTCTACCTAGAATAGCGTCGGGCCTTGTACAAGATCAACCTCACTGTAAAAAGAAAATCTGTTGTCACTTTTACGGTTTGTGTTAACAAGTATTAATATATGATTGTACTGAATCCAAAGGGAGGAGTCGATTTTAAACCGATCTCCCAAATATTATTACATAATTAATATAGCATATGTTAATTTATTTTCACTGATTGACTGAAAGATAGCCAGGAGCGCCCCAGCTTAGCCGAAGAGTAATTTATGAATTACTTTTATATTTAAAAAAAAAATCTTTATTTTTAAAAAGTTAGAGGCACTCATCACAGGGCTTCCATATTTAAGTCAAGTCTTTGTCATTTGATATTTTAAACAGAATGATAAATTCCTTAATCATTGTGTAGTGGATTGTCTTTTCCCTTTTGCTTTCCTCAGGGAATTTAAATCAGTCATTATCAGCCTCTTTAAAAAAAAAATCTCTCTAAGTGAAAACTTCACTGCTAATCAGATTTTGAAATGTTAATCTAAGTATGTTTATCACATATAAAGCGGAACATTCAAAAATTGCCAAAACACATCAAGCAAAGTTTCTGCGCAAGCATACTTACAGGGTGGTCCGAAAGTCTTGTCACGCCTACATAATATAATTTTCTATATCAGAGTGCTGACACGGGCTCCGGGAAGAGGGGTTATAGGGTGACAAGACTTTCAGACTACCTTGTACAATGTAATGTCATAAAAATAAATGCTTATTTCAAGAGACTTCTTTATTATTTTCCTATTTTCAGATTTCTTGACTAAAATTAAAATAAAAAGTATAAAGTGCGCCCCAGAGTTTTAGCTATTCTACAAGTGTGTCCTGTATTAAAAATGGTCGAAAGGACTGAATTAATCCATTAACGTTTTTCTCTATTCTTTTTTTACTATTCTTCTAGCCTTAAAGAATCTTCTTAAACTGATTATTTGAATCTCACAGGCTTCGCAGTTTGAATTATTACAGTGTAACCCGGATATAAGAGAGTTGTCGGGACCGGAGAAGAAGTCTCTTATATCCGGGATTCTCTTATATCCGAGTCTCTTATATCCGGGTCTAATTTATATACATTAACACAGGCTCTAATGTGGGACCAGATAAAATCTCTCTTATATCCGGGTTTCTCTTATATCCGGGTCTCTTATATCCGGGTTACACTGTATTTACTAAAAGTTTATTTTTTCTCATCGAACTATCGTCCGTCTTAACAACTCAGTTTCACATTTTGTTGTGACGACATATTTTTAGTATTTGCAAATACACAAAGCATTTTAGATAATGGATAACAAATTTCGTTATGAAGAAAAATAAAGTTATTCAATAGAAAGAATCAGTATATCAATATATATATATATATATATATATATATATACATGTCCAACTTACAAAAGCGGGATTTTAGTTTCAATCCCCATGGAAACGATTTATTTCCGGTTTCATACAGCTGCATACAACCGCTTCCTAAGATCAGTGGTGAAAAAATACTTTGAGCGAGTAAAAGACTGAGAGTGTTGGCAAAGATCATCTTGCCAATCCTTCTAGAAGAATCCGGGAGAGACCCCCTTCCTAGACCACGCCCTTCACATATACAAACGTAGATGTAATGAAATGGGTACTGACAATTTAAACATTCCACACAACATCTTACAATAAAAGACAATAATCCTACTTTCCCTCGCATGGTCAATGTACTGGTGATAAGTGGGGAGGTTATGCTGATGACATAGGTGGTCATCGGATAAGAATGATCTTGCAGAGAAAATCAGCATCATCTATCCAGTGTTGCAAGAAATGGAACTCAAGATAAACCCTCCCAAAACAGAAACCATGATCTAGAATTGGGATGAAAGCAGAGATGGCACCTAATATGAATCCACTATAAAAAGTACAGAATATAGAATTAGTAAATACTAAATACTTCAGATACCTCGGCGTATAGATCAGCTATAACAAATTAAGTATAGGAGAAAAAGAGATTTAACATAGAATAGGCTGCAACAGATGTAGTTTCACCCATCACCACAAATTGCTACAAAAACAAAAAATCAACCTGAAAAATTGATTCATGTTTTTAAAGAGCCTCGATAGATTGAGACTTTCATATAAATGTCATGCAAGGTGCCAAACCTGTTCAGAAATATCTGCATACGGCTGCATACAACCATTTCCTAAGATTAGTGGAGAAAATTGGCTTTGAGCGAGTAAAAGACTGAGAGTGTTGGCAAAGATCATCCTGCTTTGAAAATTGTGGACTAACGCTACAGAATCACAGGCAAAGAACTGTACCAAATAACAGAAACCAAATCGTTTGAAGACATTCAATATCAGCAACAACCAAAATGGACAGCACATGTGACTCAAAGAGAAAATAATGACATAATCAAGATGTTGACATTCCGTACCACATGAAATAGAAGGTTCGGAAGGAAACCTCCATCAAAAATGAACAAGGTACTAAACTTGAGAAACTTGTTACTATGAATAACCAAGAGTGGTCTCCCCTTGTTACGTTACTCTCCTCTTTGAGAGAGCTGTTTCTGTTTACTGGGACTATAAAAGGACACTATAAGCGAACCTTGTATTCTCAGTTGAATAAAGCTTTCTTAAAGCCTACACCTGCGTACTTTTGTCATTTGTTTTCCTAAAAAGTGTTTTAATAAAAAAGGTTTTATGAATTTCAAGCGAAAACATTACAGGCTGCTCAGTCAATGAAAGCAAAATGTTTCCTCATAAGGAAACGGTTAATTTTGCCATTACCAAATAAATTAAAAATGTTGATGTTTATTGTGCGTAATTGTTTGTATATTCAGTCTTACTATGTTGCTTGTGAAAACTCCAAAAAAAATAGGTGAAATTATATTTCCCTATTTAATATAGAAAAATATAAAATACAGCAAGGATGTATTGAGGTTAGGGGAAACAACTAACCGATTGCTCACCCCAAAACTACTGGGGCAATAGACAGAGAGGCGAAATAATTGGGCGGTAACAAAATAACACTGCCTCGGGTGGCACGATAACCTTTGGAACAAAATGCCCACGGGACCGACTTTACAAGACACCGATTCTTTCCAACTACCGACTACGGACAGCTGAAACTTGACCAGTTGCAAAGAGGCCCGTATCTAGACAGGCCAGGCTATTCCGCTGCTAATGTAACGAATGAACAGACTTCTCCGCACACGACTTAGAGCCGCTTTTGTGTCTGTACCGACGAGTATATACCACAAAAAATTACTTACTGAAATAAAAAAATAAAAAAGTTTCCTATTTTTTAGGAGTGGACCAGTTTATTTAAGTAGTCCCCTAGATCAGAGATGGCGATCTACTGATCCGCGGCTCATGGACCGACCCAACATCAACTTTTTAGTAATTCAGGAGGAGTCAGTGAAATGACGTCATGAAATATAGTTCGGCTAATCAAATTTAGCGATCGTGACGCACGAAGGAGCAGGGCGTCCGTCAACCTCCACCACTGACCAAAAGATTCAGCAAGCTCGTGAGATAGTAATGGTGAACCGGTGAGTTAACTTTATTAATGGTCGACCAGACTTTATTTAATAAAGGACTTATTATAAGATTACTGAGTCATGTAAACGAAACAGCTAGATATAATTATTAGTTAATAATTGCTTAAAATGCTTCATATGACCAAAATAATTTAATTTAACACCTATATATTTATTCGCTTCTTCACTTTTCAATCCATGAAAATCTCAGTTGGTTTTATGAATCAAATAAAGTTATAAAGAGACTATGAAATATTTAGGCAGATATAGATGGATAACAGTAAAAATTGTGATATATTAAAATTCCTCATGTCGAGATAGAGCCAAAGAAACATGAATGTGTTAAGATAATATCTGTACCTTCTTTAATTCTACTCAAAATTGGAAAATAATCCACCTTTGTCTTTGTTCGTTCTCCTTTTAATCCATGTAAATTGCGGTTGGTTTTATGAATTGCAGAAATAAGCGGCATCAATTACAATCAATTGGTTTATATTTTAAGCTGAAGTTACAAAACAGTGAAAACTGTTTTATAATGAAGATGTCGTTACTCGTCCTACCAATAGATGAAAAGAAATACTAGTCAAATATTAATAATGATTGACAATGCTTCATCTAATAAAATTTCAAGATCATCAGTCGTGTAAATAATGCAACAGGAATTAAAATGAAAGTAAACTCTCGTCAAAATTAATGATTGACAATGCTTCATCGAATAAAATTCCAAGATAATTTTACTGCTGATGCGAATAGACTAATTCAAGCAAATAAAATAAGATGAAAGACATACTAGTCAAAAAATTAATAACAATTGTCATCTACAAAATTCGGACAAATTAATTACTTTTTAAATGTGTCTCCCCAAGGAAGGCGATAATGCCACTGAGACGCAAAGGAGTTACTGAGACTGAAAGAAAATGTGAAACCGTTAATGAGGAAAAAAGACAATAAAAGAACCTGATTCAGAAAGATAGAAGATGGCGATTAGTGTTATATTTCATATTTTGAAGGTTGTAGGTGATGCGAAATCAAGAAACCGAGAGAGACAGAGACAAGCGAGAAGTGCGAGAAAAGAAACTATTAGAATAGAACTTGCGGTTACATCTAGCTATTTCAACAGTAAAACGATAAAACCTAGTTGTCAGTCTTGTACTGCGTCTAAATTCATGCGGTCGATGTATCAAGAAGGAATGCTCACGAGAACAATTTCTATGAAATATGTATAGAAAAGACACAGGGAAGCCACCTCATGAAGATAGGAAAATGGCTGAAACCGAGATGGCAGGTCAGAACCGATAACATTGCAAATCCTTCTTCGGATTTTATCAAGTATCTCGAGATATATAGCAGGACCAGATATGGCAGCAACATTCAATACACGAACGAATTCTGTTCCACAATGCAAAAGTCTTTGGGAAGAAGCTAACCGAGTTTAACTTGCTCCTTACCAAAGGAATACGTACGGAATAAGGGTGGTTTACCTTAATGTACGCAGCGTAACGAGAGTTAAATTTGGTGGAACCAAGGAATGTAATTCATTTGAACATTTTCCATGGAAACAGCGGTATAGTGTCTAGAGGCTTGCAACGGTTCGTCTGTTGGGAAAGGGGTTGTAAGGTGGAAAACAATTCATCACCCACAAGGACGTGTAGACGCTTTTGTACGCTCTCAAAACTGGAAAGTTAAGAGTTGGCAGCTCCAGTCCAGATCGCAGCATTACTCCATTTTGGGCTTGATATGGCTTTTGTAAAGGGGGAGGATAACATGACGATTGAGCGGTACAGGGAACCTGTAGGGATATTATTATTATTATTATTATTATTATTATTATTAATAAATAAAAATAAAAATATAAAATAATAATAATAATGAAAATTATAAATAAAATCAAATAAAACAATAAAAACGTTGTATAAAATAAATTAAATCAAATAATAAATTACTCCCAGCATGCAACAAAAACTGTTCCTGTCGGAAATACGGACATCCCGCCAAAAGACATTAAATTCAATCTCTTTGCCAAGAGCCCTCAGGCAGGCAGCACGTGTGTAATTTCACTCTCTGTGACAGCTTTTAAAAATTAAAATACGGAGTGACTTTTCCTTTTCATCACATGTACCATAAAACAATTGTAACCTAAAAAATACACACACCAATACACACACAAAATGTATGAAATTAACATACAATTTATCATGCTTTCCTGCTATTTCTGTACGTTTTATTCCCTGTCAAGTATGTTTTTTATCTCCGTGAACACAAAGCTAATTTCTGCTGCTATGATGTGAGTGACCCCCACCCGAACAAGCCAATCATTTTTCCAGAATCTTTAGCGATAGATCATATATACGAGTTCCACTTGAGGTCTGAGGTGAGCGTAAAGCCTAATAAACATTCAAGATATGGGGACACCCGTTCAGGACGACAGATGGAAATTCAGGGGCTGCTTGGTAATGATGGAATGTTACTGGTTTGGTTTTTGAGGTATTGTCAGTCATTACCCCCACCCAGATTGTTAAAGCTCAGAGGAGAGCCCATTTTGTGATTTTCTTTATCATTCTTTTAATCTGGATTGCTCAAAGTATCTGTAACGTGTCACGTTAAAACTAATCTGTTTAATTTCCCGTTAGAAATCAACTGATATGATTCACAGCTATATTCTCTGAATATTTAAATTCAATTATGATTAACAACTTTTAAATCACATAATGAAACATCAAATAAATTACTGTAAGTATTTCTAATAAAAACTGACATTATTAGGTTGAGTCATAAATAATTTCCGTTTTTGTTTATCATCTTTACAATTGGTTAAAAAAAAAACATGGAAATTACTTGTGTCAAACTAATATCTAGGATTACCCTAACTTGATTTGGCAAGTCGCCGCTAGGTAGCGTTGTTAAATAGCTATATAAACGGGACAGTTCCTGTTTTTTCCTATTCTTTCTCTTTTCCTTCGAGAAATAGGCGTAACGCCGGCACAGAACCTGTTCCCTGCTTGGGGAAAATATCTTTCCCCGAGTGACAGAACTTTTTCACATACGCACACATAAACACACTCACACACACATACACGATCCCTAATTGTCAAATTTTCATGTCTTCTTTCTTTTCAGTTAATTTTATTTCTTGTTTATCAATGACTAGCAATATATAAAACACATGAGAATTTTCTCCACCTTGTTGAAATTTATTGCATTTTCTTTCACCTCGGCAAGTAATGACAACCTGCCGCTTAGATGTTTGTTTGCCACTGATTTTAGTTAATCTCGAAGCAGTACACGCAACTAATAGAATTCATTAGTGTGGTCTGTTGGCTTGTTTTTACCAGAGGAAATCTCAGGAGCCTTTATATTGAGCTTAGCCTGTTACAATATTGCAACAATCTCACATCTGCGAAGGACTGAAATCTTTAGTGAATTTATTTCTAAAATTTTTTTTTTTTTTTTTTACCGTCGCACTATGGTAAGTATGTTACTGTTTATCTTTTTGGTAATATCGTATCTCATCATATGTTAAACAGGTCTTGTGAAAACCGTTCCTCATCTTAGCTACATGACCAGCCCACGCCAATACAATATAGTCTTTTACTTTTAAATTTTCTTTGTGAAAAAACTGTGGAATATTTTTTATAACATATCCTTTCAGGCTATAATTGATCATGGTGCGCTAACCATTCCTTTTTCTTAGTTTTGACTTCTTACTGATCTGCAATGCACAAGATAAACAGCGAGACTATCCTAAGGGTGCTGGAGACGCTACCAGGATTTGTTATTGGTGGGCGTAATCTTAACAATATAAAATACGTAGATTATACTGTGCTAATGAGTGACACAGGAAGAAAACTACCGGACTTCCTAGATAATATAATAAAGAAGAGTAAGAAAAAAAAAGGACTAACTGTAGTGAGTCCCGGTAAATAAAATATAAAAATAATATATATAAACAAAAAAAAAAGAATAAAATTAAAATAAGGTACTCTCTCTCTCTCTCTCTCTCTCTCTCTCTCTCTCTCTCTCTCTCTCTCTCTCTCTCTCTCCTAACGAGAAGGCAACCCTCAAATAAACAAAAAAAAAAAAGACTGAACCCTGAAGTTTGTGGGACCAGAGTCTATAAGTAGACTATGATTATAAATCTATCAAAATAAGACTGGCTCCACACGTAACTTCCATTGCATAAAAAAATAATGAAAAAGAAAGGAATCCCGGAAAATAAAATAATTTTGGACAATCAAACAAAAAATAACACAAAGAGATTTTTTATGTTAGCCGAAACCAAGGTTCGCGCCAGAGTCTGGGGGCCCTGTCAAAAGCTAGACGTAGAGAAGGGATGGCAAGAGAAACCACGCACCTAGAGACGAGACCGCCGGAGAAAGCAGCCATGCGTGCGGCGTGAAGAAGTAGTTAAGAGCTTATGATATTTTCTGCCTTTCTTAGGACCGAGAAAAATACAGTAGACTGACATTGATCTATTTCTAAGATGATTATTACTATCAAGTTCTGATTTCTAAACTATCGAATACCGAGCTGAAACAGACTTTCTCCGGAGTGCTGCCAATATCCGCCTCATAAAAGAACATTTTACTACACCGAATATCAAAGGACTCACTCTAAATCAAATAAATAAAAATATATTTTATACCCTTGAGTCAGTTCGTTTTATTCTAAAGTTTCCGGTAAATAAATACCAAGAATATACTGTCAAATCTACCATACTAATATCACATGACGATCAACGGCAAGAAGACAGAAGGTATGGTCATCAGCGATAAAAAAACCGAAGATGCGAACTACGAATTTGAGGTGTCAACATCAAACAAGTACGCAAGCTCAAATAAATGAGAAGAGTTTGGAAAATGCGACACCGAAATCCGAATACGCATTGCATTAGCGAAAGATGCATTCAAACGGTAACCAATAGAAAAATTCCGTTAGAAATAAAGAAAACATTGCTGGATTTCTAAGTAATATCTATCTGGCAGTGAATGCTGGACAAACATCCCACAGATGAAGAGAAAACGGGAGGCAACAGAAATGTTGTTCCACAGAAGAATACTGAGAATTCTATAGATGAAGCCAGTAACTCTTAAAGAAAATGGCAACGAAAAGAACACCTATACTCAGAATCAGAAAAAGAAAGCTGAAATTTCTTGGTCATAATAAGGAAGGGTGGAAGGCTTGGAAAAATGAACCCTCACCGGGTATATTGTGTGTAAGAGAGCTAAAGAAAGGCAGTGAACTACCTACCTGATGAGCTTGCGTGAGTGTATGGCGAAACGTTTAGTAGGAGGACTAGCAAAGACAGAATCACTGCTAAGGGTCACGAGGGATAAGAAGTTTACGAGAGCCATGATCGCCCGTGTCCAGAACGGACGTGGCACACAGAAAAAGAAGGAAAGATAGAGGATTGATATCGCGTTGCCTTCTCTAATATTTTGAATTCAAAGTTTTCTTTTTACGCTAGCTGTCATCCAAGGTTATTGATTGACTCGTTTTTACGGTTTATCAACCCTTTGAAGGTTATTTAAAGCCAGAAAATATTTTTAGTTTGTAAGAATTTTTTGCGACAATAATGATTTAGCCATACAAATCTTACTAATTAACCCATAGCAGGGAGGGAACAGGGGGATTTCACACTGACCAGGCTTGACGTTGCTTAATTTCGGTGATCGTCCGGGAACCGGTGTTTCAACGCGGTAAACCCATCCAAGGTTAGAGAGTCCAGTCTACTCAGCTATTTAAACCATAACTTGTGTGAGAAAATATCGATATAATACTAGAAGTCTATGATTGCGTGGTGCGTCCGTCCAGCGCATAATGATGTACGAGTTGTTTATAAAATAAGTATTTTTATTTTAACTATTTAAACAGACAATTTTTTTTAATTAAATATTTTTAAGTTAAAGACAGACACAAAAAGATCCCGCTTTGCCGTTTCGTCCAGTTGTTTGTGTAGAAATTATTTATATTTCAGCTTTCTTTAAGCAAACAATATTTCAAATATTTAAAAAATATATTTGACATATTTTCAAGTGAATATATTTTTAAATATTTTTTGGCATATTAAAAAAAATTTAAGTTTATCTAATTTAAAAAATATTTTAAATGAATAAGATTTAAAAATACGAGTTGTTTATACAGTAGGTATTTTTATTTGAACTTTCTTCAAACAGACAATTTTTTTAATATTGAAATCAACGTCAATGTTTTATAACCTGAACCATCAGTGGCTCACTGGGTCACGGGTAGTCTAGTAGAATTACAACTTTTCCAATGGTATTTATTTGAAAGTGAATGCAACAGACACGGCCAAAACTTGAACTCAACCATTTCCTAAGATCAGTAATGAAAATTGGCTTTGAGCGAGTAAAAGACTGAGAGTGTTGGCAAAGATCATCCTGCTTTGAAAATTGTGGACTCACGCTACAGAATCACAGACAAGGAACTGTACCAAATAACAGAAACCAAATCGTTTGAAGACATTCAATATCAGCAACAACCAAAATGGATAGCACATGTGACTCAAAGAGAAAATAATGACATAATCAAGATGTTGACATTCCGTACCACATGAAATAGAAGGTTCGGAAGGAAACCTCCATCAAAAATGAACAGGGTACTAAACTTGAGAAACTTGTTACTATGAATAACCAAGAGTGGTCTCCCCTTGTTTCGTTACTCTCCTCTTTGAGAGAGCTGTTTCTGTTTACTGGGACTATAAAAGGACACTATACGCAAACCTTGTATTCTCAGTTGAATAAAGCTTTCTTAAAGCCTACACCTACGTACTTTTGTCATTTGTTTTCCTAAAAATGTGTTTTAATAAAAAAGGTTTTATGAATTTCAACCGAAAACATTACTGGTTGCTCGGTCAATGAAAGCAAAATGCTTCCTCATAAGCAAACGGTTAATTTTGCCATTACCATTAGACAATAAAAATGTTGATGTTTATTTTGCGTAATTTCGAACTCATTCATTGGTTGGGTTTGGTTTGGTTTGGTTTATTTTACGGCCTATTAACCCATTGAATCATTTAATGCCGAATATTTTTCCTAAACAAGGCCTTGTATTTAAACAGGTTAAAAAAAAATTATTTTAAATATTAAGTTATAGTTATATTTTTAATTATATTTTTGAAATCAGTTTTATATCTTTTTCGTTTTGCATTGATTGTCAAAAATATATTGCTATTCATTTTATTATAAAAATGTACTGTTGATTTTTGTTTGTGGATTCACTATTTACTTATAGCTGAGAAACAGTCCGTGTCAGTGTGGACCTTAGAACAGGATTTAAGGGGGTTTTCCATCCTTAGAACAGGATTTAAGGGGGTTTTCCACATCTTCCGATCAGAGGCCTTGCTGCCGGCTGTAGTTTATCGTCATACCCAGGACGAGATAACTCATTAACAGACCGTAAATAAATATATGTCTAAAATCTTGATTATATGTTAGATTTACGCATTTTATAATTTATGCCATATCAAAAATTTGCTTAATCCGACTCTGATAGCAAACAAACCATTTCCAAAATTTTTTTTTTCTTTAGATGGAAATTTCGATACACTATTCGTATCGTTGTCAGCATGCTAATATCGTAAACCAATTCTAATGATTTACTTTCTGACTGAGGGTTCCATAAGCTGAGAATACCATGGACAGAACAGGTAAGCAACGAAGAATTTTTAAGGAAACGGGAAACAAAAAGGATGATTATACTTGGTATCAGAAAGAGTTGATATTTCAAGGGCACATAATGATGAAACAAAGGTTAAAAGATATGACACTCACAGGACATACTGAAGGCAAGCAAACAGAAGTAGACAGGTTCGCCTATCGTTCACACATCTCCTCGGTCTTTTGAAAAGGAGTAAAGGTTTATTCCTTGTTTCTTGTTTAGGATTGAGTTTCCGGTTCCTTCTAAAGTCTACTTCAACTGTATAGTTCTAACGTCTCCGCCTGAACTCTGAAAATGTTATTTACAATTTATTTTTTATTTTTTCTTCAATAGAACTTGATTGGTCCACCTATCGTCCGGTTCGCACTTCTCCCAGTTATTTTGTACAGAAATAGAAGTGTATTCCTTGTTTTGTTTCATTTTTTTTCCTTTTTTTTTCTTTTTTTTCTTTTGTTTTTTTTGTGGGGAGGGGTAAGGATTGGGTTTTCGGTTCCTGATGAAGTCTTTTCATTCTCTTTCATTCCCAGTAACTCTTAACGTCTTAGTGGCATTATCATCCTACTTGGGGTGAATTGATTAAAAAAAACGGCACAGGGCGAGTAACCAACCTAAGGTGTTGATGTAGGTGAGTGGCAGGAAAAGGCATATGTGGGATGGTAAAAGGACAAAAATTGCTACAAATGATAGGAGGTTGTGGAGAGCCATGATCAGCCACACGCGGAAAAATAAGGTATCTAGAAGAAGAAGAATCTTCATAAGCACGATCTTAGGCTACATTTGAACTGGGCCGTTAACGAATATATGAACGTATACAAACTTTCGGTTCTACTGAGTAGATATTCGCGTCAGTGTGACAGAATACGCAGAAAAACTCAGACAATAGCAACATAATCAATAAAAATCAATGTGCATCGAAGCTTGACAGAACAGAAAGCACCATTCATTTTTGGTCGCTTTGGCTTCATCATCGAAATGCCGCCGTTCCAGTTGAAGGATTCTCTATGGACAGCTGTATGCAAAACAGCTGGAGAAGGAGATATTTAAACGTATTTAAACGACGAGCTTCTAGACAAATCATCAAATTCGAGGTACGCAGCCAATCTATTCTGTGAGTATAAAATTATTTATATTTTTATCATTTAAATTCTATATATTCTCGTGGAGTAATGGATAGCGGCTCGGATTGAGGAATCGAAGAGCTGAGTTCGAAATTCAGTCAAATCCATTACGTTCACTTATGTGCTAATACCCTTGGGAAAGGTATGAATCCTCTTCTTCTCTCTAAATAGCAGGACAGACTGGGTTCTGGTCTACTGCAGAGAGAAATGGCAACCTACTGCGGAAAGGATCTGCCTCGTCAGTCATGTATCGAAAGATACATGATCACCTACGCGTGTATAACGCATGGTACATAACTGACTGATTAATTGTTCATGTAAACATGTCTTATCAAAAAGAATAAACATTTTTATCTATTGATCATTTTCTCTAACATGCGAAATGTTATTGGCAGATTTTTTTCCGCAGTAGGTTGCCATTTCTCTCTGCAGTAGACCAGAACCCAGTCTGTCCTGCTATTTAGAGAGAAGAAGAGGATTCATACCTTTCCCAAGGGTATTAGCACATAAGTGAACGTAATGGAGTTGACTGAATTTCGAACTCAGCTCTTCGATTCCTCAATCCGAGCCGCTATCCATTATCCACGAGAAAAATATTCAATAATCTGAGAAATGCCTATTCCTTTTATAATTATATTCTGGTGTCAATCGTTCGTGTAAACATGTCTTATTAAAGAGAATAGACATGTTATGTATTAATCTGACATTTTATTACTTACATATTATTTTTACTCGATACTCATATTTGAATAGACGCTCCGTTTATTTATTAAACAGTAAACTTATTTATCCGTGGCGGATATGGTCTAAAGCACATCGGATCTAACGACGGTTTCCCTCTACCTAGAGGGATACAAGTTCGAATCCTTCCGAAAAGTGCGTATTCTTCATTCTCGGATATTCTGGCCGGCAGTCAAATATAAATAAGTTTCTTGTTTAGTAAATAAACGGGGCGTCTACTCAAATAAATTCATTAAAAATAATGTTTATGTCTATAGAATTTATTGTTCCTTTGTTCTAATATACGAAAAGTTATTCGCCTGTTAGAAAAATATTCAATAAATTGAGAAATGTATTTCCTTTTACAATGATCTACTAAGTCAAGCTTGGGCTGTGCAAGAGCACAGTAGTGGCTCAATTGCGGTGATTGAATACACACACACACACACACACACACACGCACACACATACATACACACACACATATATATATATATATATATATATATATATATATATATATATATATATATATATATATATATAAACAGATTTTAGTGGTACAGAACTTGAGTATTGCTTTAAAATAAGTAACTCCATGAGATCGCTAAAAAAAGAGCATAGCACGATGAAAAAAATGCCAAACTTGACGAAAACAAAATTTTATCGTATAAATGTTTTTTTTTATTATTATATTAAAAAATTTTTTTCCTTCTTTTCATAACATCTTAAATTATGATTTAAAAAACCTTGTTTCTCTTTGTATCACCGGAACTAGTAAAATAATATACAATTTTTAGCACTTTTTTTTTTTTGTATGACACACATTACTTTGGAAAATCTTGCAAAAATAAAAATAATTGTTGGAAGCTAATGAAACTTTCAGAAACTATTCATAGATGATGGAAATTATTATAAATATACTTTTTTTTTTATTAAAGTCATGGCAGAAACATTTTTTATATCTATTACCCCACCCCATAACTAATTTTATGAAAACTATAGAAATTCGATTGAATACAGTTTAGTGAATACAATAGTTAAAAGCATAAGGCTTTGAGGAATGAAAATCCTGTTTTGTTTTTTGTTTTTTTGGGTTTTTTGGGGGGGGGGTTTTAATTGGACCCCCCCACACACACACACACACCTGAAAATCAGCTCTGAATTGTAGCATACAAAACTCAATAAAACAAAGATATTATTTAATTTCAAATGCTTTTATTTGCTTTCAGTTGTTTTTATGAATATGGACAATATTTTCTGAAAGCAAAAATTTTTTCGATGAAAATTGAATTTTTAATACAATTATTTGTTATTTCTTTAATTACAATAGATTTTTACATTTAAGTAGTTAAAATATTATAAAATTAGTTAAAAGGCGCATCCACTTTCGTAAATGTCCTTATGAGATAGATCTTTTTACCACATTGTAAATTGTACAGTTTTGACTAATCAGAAGACTCGCAGTAATTAAGAAATGTAATTTTGTGTTTATAATCGGGCTGTAATTATAAAATACAGAAGACCAACCAGAATATAATTAAGTTACATTATTTGAGTTAAGCATTGTTCTCCGCTGTTAAGGCCTTTACTTTTGCGAAACACGTGTGGAGAAGTTAATTTGATTTTCAATTTCAACTGAGAAGAGTACCTACAAGTATCAGTATCATCTTATTAAATTTATATGATCTTATTTTTATATTAATCTCAATTATGACATTTTTCCATAAATGAAATATCAAAATTAATAATAAAATGAATGGAAATACAAATAACACAGTAAAATGTAATAAATGTACATAAAATTATAGTATTTTATGTACACAGTACACTTCTGATAAAATTACATGAGGGAGGTACATATAAATTAATTAGATACCTTTCTTATGAAATTTAATCTCACTCTTAACAGTCTTATTTTATTTTCTTTATAATATATTTTCCATAAAGCATTGTAAACATAAAGGTGAAAGCTAAGTACAAAAACAATTAGAGTTCTGAAAGTTTTCCTTAAAAATAACAAGGTAAATAATTTGTTCACTTAAATCTAAATAACTTCACTTTTCGGCTTCCGTAGAACAAATTATGATCCCGTAATCCGTCAATACGTCATTCATCACCTGTCAAGTGACGCGAAAGTTTATGACCTGCTTTGTTTTATTTTCAAACTACATCTTTTCGGCGCAGAAGCTAAGTTAAGCTTGGTTCAAAATATTTTAAATAAACATTATAATTTCTGATTTTCTTAAAATAAGTTTTGAAAAAATGATAATTGATCTTTTAACGAATTTCAAACTGAGATTTTCAATTTTTATATATATATATATATATATATATATATATATATATATATATATATATATATATATATATAATGTAAAAAAAATGGTTGCCATGATTTAATTATCTGTCAATTTTGCTGACTCAAAAAGATTTTTAACGAAAATCTCAGACGTGCTAGGAACGAATAAAAATGTAAAAAAATAACCCCAAAATACTATGATCTTTCCTCTTAATAATAACATAAACATTTAGACGATAAAAAATTGTTTTCATCAAGTTTGGCGTCTCTTGATTTCTTTTTTTGTCTTTTTTTTTTCATCATGCTATGCTCTTTTTTAGTGATCTCATGGAGGTACCTACTTTAAAAGTATTGAGTTTAACATTACAAGGCATAATGAGGGATAAAAAAAATAAAAGGGAGGAAAAAACAATCGGTTTTGCTCCCGCTCATCAAAAATTCTTTTATCGGGAGAATTTAAAGTAAAATATAATAAATATGAGATATGAATTATTCAATGATGGGAGTCGGGGTGGGGAAGTACCTATTAGAAACTGGTCACAGCAAGGCCTAGCAAACAATGTCACTTAAGAGGGAAATTCAGGAACAGTAATTATTGCGAATAAGTTCATTTTGTTGCCAGATATGGTTCTTGATTTTCAATGAAACATGTTGTTTAATTCGAGTATCAAGCCGCTGAGTAGCTCTCCCCGTGTAACTAACTCCGCAGCTACAATCATATTTATATAAACTATATTTGACGACGTGGGGGAACGTCCTTACGACTAGAAGATAGAATCGATCTAGTACCAAATACAATAGGCATCTTAGTAGAAAAATAACAATTCTGCACATTTAGTTAGGTTTTCACCATTTACTCCAAATTCACGGTAGTCTTAAATACACAGTCTTAAAATAGCCAATTCATATTCACTTTTTCATTTGAAAGTACAAGATTCGGTTTACATCAGGTTTCGCAGACCCTCGCCTTGTAGTGTTAAACTTAATACATTAAAGCAATATATATATATATTAAAGTAATACATATATATATATATATATATATATATATGTGTGTGTGTGTGTGTGTGTGTGTGTGCGTGTGTGTGTGTGTGTCAAACATGTTTGGTCAAATAATATGGCCAATTTCGGACTAGCAATTCTTTTATTCATTTTTTCAAATTTTCAGAATTGGTTGCTTTGTGATATCAGTAAATAAGTTCATATTTATTTCTATTATATATTATGTTTTCATGACTACTTTCGAATGTTGCTACAAAACAACTAATTTGGAAATTTGAAAAATTTTATAAAAAAAAAAGAAAGAATTTATAAAAATAAAAAAAAGATGAAAATATAGATTTAAGTTATGATATATCCATGGGTAAAATCTGTAAAAATCATATATATATTGTTTTGGGCTTCCCTAGATATTGTCTGGTGTGAAGCCTTTATCTACGTTGTATATTGTATACGTCGTAGATTATGTAATTCTTGCCGAAGATTACGCAACATTTCCCATAGCCGTGGTAAACTGTTGTCTCTTTCGTCCGGACACTTGCCGGAACTCAGGCTGGAATATAACTCCTTCAATGAAATGCACAACACCGTTGATAACTCTAACAAATTTATTAAATATAAGAAAAGTTGGATGAATAAAATATCTATCAGCTGCTGCAAATCAAAATACTCTACTACTGAAGGAGTGGTGATTTGGAGATTCTGGTTGCACCTATTAAAGTGATGTCCAGTTGACTCTTCAGTTGTGCGTGGGTAATTTCTAATTATAACCGCTCAGGTAATGGCCCTCTCGTCGACGTTTTCTCAATTCTTCTGTTATAGGTGTGTGTCGGTGTATCGTACCGGCCCAGAAATGAATGGATGTCCCCTCAGAGCCTTTAACTCAACTGAGACCTCAAGTGGAACTCATACATATGATCCATCGCTAAAGATGCCTTGGAAAATGGTCTGTTTCCTGTACCGCTCCAATAAGTACCTTTATAAGAGCCAGATCAGGCCTAAAATAGAGTACTGTTGTCATATTTGGACAGGAGCTGCCCAGTCTCCATAGAGTCCAAAAGCGTCTCCGAGTCTTTGTGGGTAACAAATTATTTTCCAATCCCAGCCTTACAGAATGATGTGGCAAGCCTCTCACTGCTTTATCGCTACTTCCATGGAAAACTGCTCAGACGAGCTACATTCCTTAGTTCCACTAGTTCTAACCTTCACGGCTAGGAGCCGCCATGCTACGCACATTGTAGCGAAGCACCTTCATTCTCTCCGTATTCCATTGGTGTGAAGTAAGTTCCACTCGAACAGCTTCTTCCTGCGAACCACTGCTTTGTGGAATTAGCTCCCAAGATTATGCTTTTCCGATCGCCACAATTAATAACCTGTTCAAGTATAGGGTAAACCGTTATCTTCTTCTTAAGGTGTGCCTCTGATTCTGTAAGCTTCTATCTTGAGTGGCTCCCGGGACTTGTATAGGGTGAATCTCACTGTAAAAAGAAAAAGGGGAAATTTTCACGGGTAATACTAGTAAATATAAATTACGCTTAATTTCAGGCGATATTAACGAAGTCAACGCCATGATGAAAATTCAACTTGTTGCCATTTGTCTGTTTCTGCTGTCCTCCACTGTGGCATCCTTGGACGGTAAGTTTATTGTCTTCGTCACTGGAGACTCTACTAATGGCTGTCGAAGGCCACAAGACGAAGAAAATAAAGGGAAACGAAAGAAAGATATTTAGTGAACATAAATATTAAATTTGCCTCGGAAAGTTTAATCGATGCTTGTGTCATTAAAAACGATTAAATGTCAACGAATTGGAACAGGTTGTTCTTAGTAAGATAGAGATGTAAACATAGATTACAAAGCCGTCGCAAATTTCAAAAGATGACAAGGATTTGGTAGGTATTTCGACTAGCCAAGTCACGTCAAATCTCGTAAAGTCACGAAAAAAGTTATGCATTATAGTAGGAGTACTGTATGTACTGCGGGTATACAAACAGTAATGAATCTAGAGTAAAATAGTATGACGAAGCCTATCACTGTTCAGGCTGGTTTTGAACTTGAGTTATCCTTCTCCTAGACGGGTTGGCAATTTAAACTACGAGAATCCAGTTAGTTTACTCTTTATATGCTGGTAAAGAGAAGAGATGATTTAATATATTTCTCAATGGTATTTGTCCAAAATTGGAGTTATTTACGAATTTGGTGTCAGCTAAGTGAAACATTTTATTTGTATTAATCATATATATATATATATATATATATATATATATATATATATATATATATATATATATTACAATGGAATAAATTATGACCATGGAGTATTAGTGTTTAAGGCTTTTTATTTTATATATATATATATATATATATATATATATATACAACAGAAGATGTCTGTCTGTCCGTCTGTGTATGCTATTTATGCATGTCCATATTTCTCGACCGATTTCGATGAAATTATACACCCAATGTTACAAATTTAATACAACAGTTCCAGACCAACTTTTCAATCTCCAGCCACACCTGGGTGTGTCAGAAAAAATCGATAAAACTGAAGGGGGTACGAATTTTTACAAAACCAAAGACAATGTTATACGCGAACGAGATTTTTACTGGATGAGCTGATGTTCTTTGCACTTAATGCAAATCATAGCTCATGTTACGAGGTTTATATCGAGTGCTTGATAGTTTTCCTGCAACATTGGCTTCACACAAAAAATTGTAAAAAACTGAAAAAATCGGGTTTTTCGTACTACTTAAAATAAAAAATTGAATAACTTCCTCATTTTTATCCGATTTTCTTCGAACATGTCATAAAACATTTGCCATCATTCAAAAAACAAGACAGTGTGGTCTTAGTCCTACTCGCTTTCACGTGTATAACGAAAAACTGTTAAAAAAGCCCGTTATTCAGCAATAACTCCCTGGTTTTTCATCCGATATTTTCCAAATTTGCCACGTAAATTACATTTGACACAAAATTGTCTTGCGTGAATGTTTGGTTTAGATTATTTCAATTAAGTGGATGAAATCTGTGACACACCAGGTCCAAAATCGGCTTTTGCCATTTAACCAATTGTCAATCCTTAATTGGCATTCGAACAACCTTTGATGCAAAGATTGTTTGAGAAGGATTATTGAAGCGTTAAAAAGGAAAAATTTCCGAAGAACCTTTTATTAAACCCAGCTTTACAGTAAACGTGCGAAGAACGAGGGGCCGTTCATATGTCTGCCATTGCATTTGAATCAAGATCTGACGCTTCATACCTGTTTTTGTTTGATTGTTAGATTTGTGGACAATGCCATACTATTTGAAAGTTATTATGGCCATAGGAAATTTACTGAATATCTAAAACCTTGAAACAATGTAACCCCGAACAACGACCACACAACAAGTTTTTATCGATGGAATTCCTTTATTTAGAACAATGAAACACTTGCGAAGGACATACCGTAAAAATGATGAGGGAGTAGCTTAGTATACCAAAGGATGATGCATACAAGCGTGGACGCAGGCAGACATTTCTAGACGGAGGGTGCAGGTATAGAGTGGGGTGTGGTTATACAACTGCAACCATGTACACCCGGGCAACGCCGGTTTCCTCGCTACCACTGAGAAATAATATGTGTGCATTTATTAATATAAATAGCACTGTTATATTACATTGAGCACTATTTTATTTAACACCCGCACTCAATGTGCGATATCTTATGTATATATTTGGCATCAGTCGAAGTTTCTACCCCTGAGCTATCAGCGCACGGCATAGGGAAAGGGAAATTCTAGTGTATTATTTCTTACGAATGTAAACAAACGCCAGACAGCCATAGTGCTCAATTCCTTTCAATGAAGAGCGTTGCATTAGCAGAGACGGCTGCTGTTTAGAATTAGCCTATCTCTCAACAGTGCTAAACCGACATTTTTCGAGCGCATAATAATGTCATTCACATACAGGCCTGTTTCGCTGTGTCATCAGTGCGGCTAGACATCTGATTGCTTCAAGATATCGCCAATAGCTTATACCTCTTGTCGAGTGGACAGAAAGATTGCAAAAAGTTTCGTCTGCGAAACTCTAGAGTCAAGGTGCTAAATATAATATCAGTCAGCTAAGTGACAAATTTTATTTGTATTAATCATACATATATATATATATATATATATATATATATAATACAATAGGAAAACTGTATTATTAACCGACATGTTTCGTCCTATGTGGACTTTTTCAAGGCAAAAGCGAAATGAATTTATTAAAACAAAGTAACTGTTAACAACTAAACAAAATGTCCTTATCAACTGGAAGAATTTAGAAAACCCTATTGTATTTATATTGTCAACTGAAAATTACGTCAAGTACTGTCAGGTGTGGAAATATTGTTTTTATTGTTATGTTGACGGATTCAACCATTTTCTTTTGATTTCTTGATACAGTTGCGTACGTTTGCTTGGGCGAGTAGTAATTCTATTAGAAAAGGGAATATGGGGAAAAGCCTGGGCATAGATTAATATTTGGATAATATTCAATGGCGGAACTCTTGAGGATTTTCCTTCTGAGCGAGTTTTCTTTTTATTGAGTGTAGCATTTTTAAAATCAAAGTTGTGGTTGAATCTATTTTTATGTATGATTAGTGCATTAGTTAAGTTGTTTTTTGTGAGGTCTCTTTTGTGCTCATAAATGCGTTTTTAAAAGGACATTTTGTTCTGTTGTTAATAGTTAATTTGTTTTAATAAATTCATTTCGTTTTTGCCTTGAAAAAGTCCATATTGAACGAAACGCGTCGTCTAATAATAGTGTTTTCCTATTGTCTTTTACCTTTAAAAAATATTGTCATTTTCTACAGGTTAACTAAGAAATTTTCATATATATATATATATATATATATATATATATATATATATATATCAAGAGGCTTTTCTTTTAGGTAGCACCTCGGTTATCAAATTATATTCACGGTGACTGTTTAAAATAAGCATTACATAAATGATACAAATTTAAGCATTTTGCTGAAAACGACTATATAAGGTAGAGACTAGCCATACTTTCGTAATATAGTGGGAAGAAAATTAAATACGTGAAGAGCAGAGATTACCCAAGAAAAGAATTTAGGTTTCTCCATATTGTGTAACTACTTACTTCACTTTCGACCACAACGATATACGACTTTACAACACGTCTTACATTTTTGTTGATGCTTCTTTTACGTTACATCAGGTTTTAAATTTTAAAAAAAAACATGTTGCAAAAACAGCTGTATTTATTAACTGTCTTTGTTGATTCAGTATAAAAAAAAATGACGTCTTTCGATGTGTTGATTCGAAATCATTGCATTTAGCATAAAAATATGATACATCTGTGTCACTAACCAAAACAAGATAGAGAAAATTATTGATAATAAGACTAAATATAATTTGAAATCTGATGATTTTTTTATAACTCCAACATTGATTAAACAGTCAGAGGCAAATCCAGTACTTTTGCACACGAAAGATCTTTCTCTCGCTCTCGCTCTCTCTTTCTCTCTCTCTCTCTCTCGCTCGCTCGCTCGCTCCCACTATTTATCTCTTTCTCTCTTTCACTTCCACTATTTCACTCTCTCGCTCCTACTATTTCTCTCTCTCGCTCCTACTATTTCTCTCTCTCTCTCGATCCCGCTATTTCTCTCTCTATCTCGTTCCCACTATGTCTCTTTATTTCTCTCTCGCTTCCACTATTGCTCTCTCACTCCAACTATTTCTCTCTCTCTCTCTTTCTCTCTCTATCTCTCGACCCTGCTATTTCTATCTTTCTCTCGCTCCCACTATTTCTCTCTCTCATTCTCTCTCTCTTATATATATATATATATATATATATATATATACGGTAATTCCCCATGTATAATACACCTTCATTCATAATACGCACCCCTAAAATTGTGCTGAATGTGTGGGAAAAATGCTTCTACTCATGCTTAATACGCACCCCTTGTTTGGTAATCAAACCCTATAAATTGTACCTCTCCAATTTCATTACGGCCAGCGTTTCCTACTCTTATTTATAAAAGAATTTAATCATAGAATAATATTATTCTAATTTAGTTTTATGATAATTCTTATTTTATCTTACATTTGTAAGTATTGTTAGATACATATGATTGTATTTGACATCCTTATGGAGCCGTGATCGCAGAATGTTATTGTCAGATTGTCGTATGTTTGTGCTGGATTTCGCAACTGAAATCGACCTATGAAACGGCAATTTTTAAAAGATTTTTTGTAGCTGTGCATAATACGCACAACTGATTTTGCGAATTATGTTTTAGAAAAAAATGTGGGGATTTACGGTATTCAGTATATGTTAATATACCAAATATATTCTATATTTTTTTCAAAAAATATTATTGCGCATTATTACACGATTCTATCACATTAATTAATTAATTTAGTTTTCAAAAAATAATGATATTTAATGATACAAAGCACTTCATTTTCGTTTATCACTCATACCTAGTAATAACTCATGTGTATCGAAATCTTGGAACAACACAACATGAATTTTGGACAATTTATTCACACACAGCAGACACATTTGTGAAAGGATATTCGTAATTAGAAAATATCATTTTTTTCTAATGTACGAATATCTATCTATCTATCTATATATATATATATATATATATATATATATATATAAATATATATATATATATATATATATATATAGTTATTTTTATATATGAAGACAAAAGTAAAAACTATACTTAGCCGACGTGTTTTGTCTTCTGAGAGACTTTAGAGGAGGAAACGCGCCAGCTAAGAAAAGTTTTTCTCTTGTTTTTTTATTCATTTTCTTCCTTTACAGATACACTTTATCTGAAAGTAATTTACACATTCGTATATATATATATATATATATATATATATATATTCGTGCATTAGAAAAAATTGCATATATATATATATATATTATATATACACAAAAAACATACCACGGGTTGACGCAAGGCTTGTGGGAGAAATTGGGTAGACAGAACCCTTGGGGGCAGTCGACAGCTGTGCTAGCACGAAGTCACAAATCATCGTGACTGAGGGTTTGAGTGTGCAGGCCTTGTTCAGAATGTTGATCACGTTAGAAAACACGCTCTTTCCAAAAAAACTCTAGGTCTGCTCAGCATAGATGCGTATAAACCACAAGTTGGCTCTGTGGTTGTTGAACAAACACAAAATGTGCCTGAGCGAGCATCTGCAGTAGGGATTTCTAGTCGCCCTAATATACGGGTATCCTCGAATACGAGTGGCCATCTATCATATATATATATATATATATATATATATATATATATATATATATATCTAATTAGTCAAACTTATATCCGAATTAGTAGAAACTATATATATATATATATATATATATATATATATATATATATATATATACTACAGTTAATCGATCCGTTGGTCTATAATCCGGATGGATCCTAGTAATCAGTGTACAGAACGGCTTGAAATAGACTATTTTCAATGTTGATGTAATTTTGGTTTTTCCTGTAATATATATATATATATATATATATAAAGGAAATATGTTGTAGTGGTTATATATGTATATTATGGCAATCAAACGTTTTTTTGGATTGCCAACACAAAAACAGAATGTCTTTATTGATCGAGAATATATACACATTGAACATGAAGAAAAAAATTATTTTTTAATATGTAAAAAGTCTCCATGAAGACGGATTTTTGAGATTAGAAAAGAAACAATTTTTTCTTCAAATTATGTGGAAAACAAAGTATAATATTTTTGTTCAATAAATCCACATTACAAACTAAAAAACGTTTTTTCTTTTTTTTTATAATATATATATATATATATATATATATATATATATATATATGATATTATGACATAGTGGTTGGGAGTTGAATCCCTAGATCGGGTAGTGTGAATCCTTGGAAACAGGTGATAAGTAATTGAGTAGTACTATAAATAAGAACTAGTCGATATCCCTAGTCATGGGCAGTGGAACGAGAGCATTCTAACCCCGTCAATTAGATAAAGGATTCAGTTCAGATTTCTCTGTAGATTACACTGGTCAATATACACCTGAGGAAATCCGGAGTGCACAACCAACGTTTTGGTAGCAACAACAAAGAAGAGGATAATAGTATAGTAAATAATGATAACTCCTCATCCCAGAAATTCAGACAGCAACTAGATAATTATTCAGAATTAAAGAAAGAAATATATGTTTAAACTGGGATAGATAGATAGATAGATAGATAGATAGATAGATATGAACAGGTAAATAGCTACTAAATGGGGTCTACAGGTAGCGTAAGAGTTACCGACGCGAAAAGTTGAATCGGCGAGGCCAGTTCAAATTCTATCCTAGTCTGCTGCGTTCACTTTTGTACATATACCTTGGAAAAAGGTATTGTTATAGTGGAACACACCTATTCTTTAGTTAATAGACTCTCCCACCTATAATAAGTAGAAGTAGTAATAGTAACGCTGAGTCGCTGAGTGGGTCGGTCAGTCAGTCGATGCCGGACGACCGTTAGTCGGATACTAAAGTATCAGCGACCACAACTAGATTTCTCTGCGTCATTACCTATTATATCAAGTTCCTAACGTTTTGTACGTCGAACCTATTTTAGGACCGACTTAGTACAAATACAAGCCTCCACTGTGAAACCACTCCATAACAGGTATGAAGCCCGATTTTCTCTCTTCCTTCAGCTATGAGTGGAATAGCAGGGTAGACTGGGGTTTCTAGCCTTGAGTGACAGCCCGTCTGAAAGGAAAACTGAATTCAAATCTGTGGCCGAGACCGTGAAGAAGACAACAACAAACTACTTCACTGTCCCCCCCCCAATGTCTTAGCAATTCACAGATGTTAAAGAAAAAAAAGCTATGAATGACTGCTTACGTCCTCATGAGATATGACTTTAAAAAAAATATATGTTGGGAACATCTAGACTCGAAGTTTATTATCCTCAAATGTCGATCCATCTCTGCTCCTCCTCCTGCTATGAGTTAAATAGCAGAGTAGACTGGGATTTTTAGCCTTGGTTGGCAGCCAGCCTAAAAGAAAAACTGAATTAAAAACTGTGGAAACGACTCCACATTTTTCCAAAAATGTCATAGGAATTCAATGAAAGAGAATCTGTAGAGAGTTAGAACCGTTTACGTCCTGATGGGACGAGGTCTTTAAGAATACAGTTAAAATTATATGGTCCGGGGCCCTTGCTATTTACCTTGAGCTAATTGATAAAATCTAAAGCAAAATCAGCAATATTATTGGTCCTAATATGGTTGCTCGGCTTTAGCCACTTTCCCACCGTCGTTAGGGTGCCTCTCTGTGACTTTTCTATAAATACTTTCATGGTAATTGCTCGGATGAGCTCTTTGCTATGGTACCTAGACATTTTTTATTTAAGCGCAGCACTAGACTGGCATCGAGATCTCATCAGTTTACTGTTGAGCAAGCTAGATGTATCCGTAAATTCTATACTAACAATTTCTTTTCTCGCACTTCCTACTTGTGGAACTCCCTTCCTGCTCCATGCTTTCCAACCAACTTTAATCTGCAAAAGATTTAAATGCAATGCCAATCGCTATCTACTATCTTCCTAATTACTCTTTCCTTTTCCCGTTCATTATTAATATTTCTGTTCTTAATTCTTACACACCCTGTAACCCCTTGTGTCTTGGTGTCTTTACTGCCTTGCATGGGGTGATACCGATTTAAATATATATATATATATATTGTAGATTTTACTAATCAACAATTTTATTGGCTGTTAATAAAATTAAAAAAACGGCATTGTACCATTCTTCGAAACCAGGAGGAACAGACAATCTTGATAAACCAGTCTTCATTGTCTTCACCTGTGCTCGAACAGCTCTTATTGGAAACAAATACGAGCTTACAAGAGCTTCTAAGCGGGATCAGATTTGAATACATTTCTAAACAAACTATGGAAAACAGTTTTATTAAAAACTCTTGTAAGCTCGTATTTGCTTCCAGTAAGAGCTGTTCGAGCACAGGTGAAGAACAAAAATTTAAATATCTGAGAACGGAAAATGCGACACTGAAATCCGAAGACGCGCTGGGATAGCGAAAGATGCCATTCATAAGCTAAGCAAAGTATTAAGAAAATAGGAAAATCTCGTTAGAAACAAAGAAAAGAGAAGTTAACGGTTACGTAATATCGGTCCACCTATACGGCAGTGAATGATGGACAATCCTCCTGACAGATGAAGGAGAGACCTGGAGCAACAGAACTGTGGTTCTGCAGAAGGATGCTGAAAATACCATAGACTGAATAACTGAGCAACGACAAATTTTTGAAGGAAAGGGAAACAAAAAGTATACATATAAGAGATAGCTGAAATTTCTAGTCGAGGAAAGTGGGCTAAGAAAATTTGGCACTCACATGACATATCAAATGCAAAATAGGCAGAAAACAACGCATAACGTGTAAATGGTTGGTAGAACAGGGCTTAGGGGAGATAGTCAAAAAAATTACTGAAAACTACCAAGGATTATAAATTGTGGCGAGCCATGAAGGAACATGGCACATAGAAATATATATATATATATATATATATATATATATATATATATATATATATCAAAAGCTATAAGTTAATAGAGACAGATCGAGAAGTAACAGTGATATCTGAATACACATAAGAAACTGACTAAGCGTATCGAGCTGATCTAGCCAAATCATACAATGATTGAATGGTTATTGATTTGATTGGCAAATATGCCCAGACGAAAAGCTGTTCAAATTATATTTAATCCGCAACCGGCATTCGTGAAAAATCAATTATATAAACACGCTGAATCTGTTCGACTTTTACCCAGAATTGATC